CCTCATAACTACTATGCTCTTATTTAAAGAGCTAATATTAAAGATATCAAAAAAAAATAATTTTTTTTTTTTTAATTTGTATACTTATCAAAATATAATTAATTAATTAATTTGAAAAAATAGAAAAAAAAATGTTTAATTAAATGCTATTAATAATATTAATAACTCCATTTTCTTCATTTAAACAAAAAAAAAAGAAAATAAAAAATAAAATTTTTATAAAAAAATATGAATAAAAAATATTTTTATAAAATAACAATTAAAATACAAAAAAAAAAGAAATTAATAAAAAAAAAAAAATAAAATGAAATCAAAAAATCAATATTTTGTGTGATGTTTCAATATTTAGGTGTGTCGCGAATTTATGCGCGGTGCTTGCAAGCGAGCTGAATCCGAATGCCGTTTTGCTCATCCTCAAGAGAGTGTAACAACACATGAAGATGGTACTGTTACTGTTTGCATGGATGCTGTTAAAGGTAGATGCACACGTGATCCATGCCGATATTTTCATCCCCCTTTACACCTACAGGCACAAATCAAAGCAGCGCAATCACGCGCTTCCGCGGTATGGCTTTATAATTCTTGTTTGTTTTCTTTTCAATTTTTTTTTCTCTTTGTATAATTTAAACAATTGTGTTCTATTTTTTGTTTTTTTTTTTTTTTATTTGTTCTTAATTTATATTAGAAATAAAAAGAAAAATCTTAACCTATAAGCAATAAATGGGAATAAAATATAATTTTAATTTTAATTATTTTATTTATTTTTAATTTAACTAATAATTGATTTTTATATTATAATTGTAAAATATATGATTTTTTTCTTTTAATTAAAAGAATTTGCGTTTTTATGAGAGATTTACAAAAAATAAAAAAAAAAAACTATAAACTATTTTAATAGTATATTACAATTCTAACACACACATACACATGCAATCACAGGCAAATAGAATGCTAAATCAGCCATTTTTAATTTTTTTTTTTTTGTTACTTATTTTCTAATAACCCTATAAATACACACACAAATATACGATAAACCAAAGCAAATTTTCAATTTCATTTTTTGTACCTATAAAAATACACACAAAAAATAAAATTGAATTTTTTTTTGCTTTATAAAATAAATTTAGAAATTTGAAATATTACTTTAGTCGATTAAATTTTTTTCTTTTAAAAATTTCAAACATTAAAGTGCTACCCAAATACCATTTACATTTTAACGAAAATGCCAAGTTTTCATCTGGTCATGGCCGTCAAATTTATGTTATTTTTGTGGCCATCGACGTATTAAAATTCTACAATCTTAATCACTCCAAAGTTGTTCTTTTTTAATTTCCATATAAAATTGAAATGATCTTAGATTTCAAAGCTACAGTTAAATTGCATTAACACAAAATATAACTGATACAACTTATAAACTTAATTATGTGTTAGACTGTGTCACTGCAATTTTGAAGTCAAGGGATATAATGACATTTTCAAATTCGAAACAAAATAAATGCGTTTATATAAGAGGAATTTGATCCTCTTTAGATATACTAATTTCAGCTTGATATAACGTATAAGATGCTAGCGCACAAAATAAAAAATAAAATTATTCTTTTGTACAAAAACAAAAATAGCTTCTTCTTATTAAAAAATATTCTTATATATTAAAAATGAAAAAATTAACAAAATTTTAAAAATTAAATTAAATTGCCCCCTAAATTATGCAATTTACTAAAGTAATATTTTAAAATAATTTAATTTAATTAAAAATAAAAATAATCTCTTCCATATCATACATAAAGGGACTAAAAATCATATATGATTTCATTTCATTGGATTTCATATAAAATTATTATAAATTTAAGTCAGACTCTTTTTACAGTACAGAACAATTCCTCGAATTGGGAATAAAATGCAAAATATCGTACAATATTTAAAAAACACTATAAAATACATTAAAGAATTTATAGAAGAGTAATTGATGCAAACCAATTTAAATAATTTTTTTTTAAGATTTAATAAAAAAATAAAATATTTAGCAAATAAATCACAATTACAAATTCGTACAAATATAGTGTTGAAAAACTTGTTTTGTGAAGTTTACGAAATAATATTAGTAATTAATTAATATTTTGAGTTTTAGTAAACCTTAATATTTTTTAAATTATAAAAATACAGCCCCTTATAGTTTTATATTTACATATAGTTTAGATTTTTTTAATATAATTTTTATACATATACATAATTTATTATGTTTGAATAATTCTCAATTCTGATATTTTGTTATATTATTTGTTTATTTGAATTGAGATTCTCGAGAAATCCCCAAAAAATTTAATACATACATATTGTTTAGTTCCTTTTGATTTTATTACTTAGGTTGTTAATTAATTTCTATATGATTACAAAAATCAATCTACTCTAGTCCATTTCATATTATAGCCAAAATATAAACTTTAATAATTTTTTTGCCTTGTAAATAATTTCTCTTGTTCTTATAAATTCATGATTCTTCTTAGTTAATTTCAATTCAAAAATGACTTCCCTTCCATTACCATATATCATTTAATTGTCTTGTTCGTTGGGTTAAGCCCTCTATTATCAATAGCTGCTTAATTACATACAAAATTAGAGCTTTTTCAACTATTTTAAAGAAAATATATATTTTTCCGTAATAGGAATATTGTTTATTAAAAATTTATAGGAACTTTTGCTATTTGTATCTGAGGGTCAATAGTATTTTTGTGATAGAAATAAGATCGAAGTAAGATAGAGAACTGAATAATATTATGGAATGTATTTGTATAGAATACAAAAAATTAATATGTAAAAAACTTAAATTTATAAAAAACGTTGTAAAAATACAAAACGTAAAAAAACAAAATAATGGTCGCTAGTAGACAATCCAGATAGACAGTAACTGTTCATATCGAATCATAATCTACTAATATATTACATTAATATCTTATAGTATACAGAGACTTACACCTAAATAATATTTGGTTCTTATTTAACGCATATATTAAAATTGTATAAATTTAACTTTAAAAGGAATAATTAAAATCAATTTTTATGGCTATTTGTCCTATCTGAATGTAAAACTGTTATATTATTGTTATATTATTTATTTTTTATTATTTCGATTTATCTTTTGAAAATTTGTTTATTCCATTGGAAAATGAAAAAGTTTTCTACCTATATCGTGATTTCCTTTGCGCAGTATTATAAATTTTTAGAAAAATCAAATTTCAATTATTAGTTCTGCTTCCCTTATTAGTTCTGTACAACATTTTCTAAGACAAATTTTAATAATAAAATTAAAATTTAAAAAAGTCAATAAATTGTGACCTTTCATAATAATTTCTATTTTCGTCTGTTCAATTAGTAATTAATAATGGCAAATACTTCATTTATTTTTGTTACATTGCTCCATCATGAATTCCACATGTAGAATCCTAGGAATTACGAATTTTTGAATGATTACAAATTCCACTCACAATTATTATTAACCAGAAATAGTAGCATCATTTTTCGGAGTGTCTGCTACTCGCATGTTAGACCAGAAATAAAACACGGAATTTTTAGAGAAAAATTTAAAACGATCATTCCCCTTAAATTACTTGTTACGTTCAATTATTTCTGATTACATTATTACAAATATTCGGAACAGAATTTTAATGATTCGAAATTGACATTCGTAATTTTTCGGCTTTTGAAGCTACTAACGGAACTCATGTTATGAATGAATATATTTGTTATTAAAAATTACTTGTTATACAGAAATTAATGATGTAATATTTATAATTTTTTTAAAAATTGATACTAAAAAGTAATTTTCAGAAGAAGTAGTTCTAAAGATCTTGCCTTAATTATATTATTTAATTATATTACAAATTGTAGGAAAACCAAGATATTATTTGAAACAAATAAAAAAGAGATACGATTTATTGAGAAATTGATAAATGACAATTTTTTTTATTATCATATTAGAATAAAAGGAACTTACAACTTTCTTATACATATATATATATATATATATATATATGTATATATATCTAATTTTATAAATATATTCATATTGGTAATTAGTTTTTTTCTTTATTCATAAAATTTCAATGCTCGTTTCCCAATATACATCTAATATTAAATGCTCATTTTTCCCAATTTCTCTTGTAAAACTAAAAATCAATAATAATATTTCTATATTCATTAATACATATAGGATATATAAAAGGCTTAAAGAGCTTTTTTGTTTTTATTCTTTAACGAACAGCATCTTTATTAATTTAAAAAAATTATCATTGAATAATGCTTAAGCATTAAGCAATGCTTACTATTGTATAGTTAAGTGTCTTTTATTTTTTTGGAATTTTAATGAATTGTGAAGCCTCTGTAATAATAAAAGTAGTAAAATTGAAAAAAAAAAATTAATATCATAAAAAAAATTAATAAAAATATCTTATAAATAAATTTATTTAATTTCTCCTTAATATATGCAATTTATTTTCTAATGTTTTTCTTTTTTATTTTCTCTCTTTTTTTTTTTATTGCAACGTTTTTATTTATGTTCGCATACCTGCCATATTTCTTTTTTTTTCTAAAAAAAAAAAAAACAAAATTTGTACATTTTTCGCTTGGATGGAAAATCAACTAAAAATAAACAAAAAAAAAAATATTTTGTAATTGAAAAAAAAAAAACATAATCGAATGCTTGTGGCTTAATTGTGCATTTTTTTAATTTATAAAAATTTTAAAAATATCAAAAAAAAAAAATGAAAAAAAAAAATCAAATTAAAATTAAAAAAAAAAACATGAAAAAAAAAACACCATAACTTTTCTTAAATTGCAACACACACACACAACAATTCTATTGGCACAAAAATGAAAATTAAAAAAAAAAAAAAAAACAACAAAAAACAATACTACAAAAATTGTTATAATGTCAAAATGATCTTCAAATTGAATTAAATAATTATGAAAACAAAAAAAAAATTAAATATATTAAAAATTAAAAGACTGCACCTGTTACGGCCGTTGCTAGTAATACATTAACAGCGGTTGCAGCTGCTGCAGCTGCTGCTGCTGCTGCCAATATGACACATCCACAATCTACTACTACTATCATACCTACACAGCAATCGCCATCTGGATCTGTTGCATTAACATCATCAAATAATGCAATAACATTTTGCCAACCGCAAGTGGAAGCAGGCAAAAAACGTGCAGCAGAAAATGACATATTTCAACTGGTATATGCCGTGAAATAATTACAAAAAAAAAAAAACAAAAGAAAATTAAATTTTTTTTTTATAATTATTATTTTGCATAATATGCTTTTTATTTGCTACGTTATTGTTGTTTATTTTTGTATTTGTTTGAAATTTTGTTTTTTAATTTGTGTTCCTTTTTTTCCATTTTTATTTTAGTATTAATAGACATACATATGTATGTATTTACATATTTTTATAGTAAAATTTTTTTTCTCTATTTGTATAATTTGAAAATTTTAGCAAATTATGTTGTTGTTGTTTTTTTTTTAATTAATATTGTAGGGTATGTGTTTTTTTTTGAAAAAGTCTTTTCAACTTTTCATAATTCCAAATAGAAAATAAAACGGTGTGATTTTTTCCCATATTTTATATTATACTAGTACAATGAAATATAATATACAAAAACACAAAAATAAAATTTACAGATGCATTGGAACTTTTATATATACTTTCCATAAGAATACCGTAAAATTGAATGATTAAATTCAGTTCAATTTAAAAACGAATGAATGAATTCAGCTTCGCTGTTAATTGTTGACAAATGATTTCAAATTTATTTTCTCCGCCGTACACAAAATTTTAAATTAAATTAATGTTACGATATGTACAACTTTATATCGTGATTTTACGATATAACCTTTTGTTATTCTTTAAGTTAAAAAATTTTAGATTTTACTTACATACTCACTTAAATACTCACTTTTATTAACTCATATTTTGTTAATTTATCATAAAGACTAATTTCCCTTACTTTATATTATGATCTTTTTTAAGACATTTTCTTAAAAGTGTGTACATACTAGTAAGCCACACTTTTCCCTTATTATACGGGGGAAAAAAAAAACATCTTCAATTTTTTCTTTTAATTTTAATTAATTTTTAGAATTTTATAGTTAATTTTTATTTGCAAGTAAATTGAATTTATTTTTCATTTTGTTTTTAATATATTTTGATTTCTTCTTAGCTGAGCTATCAAAAATATTATTTCATACAACTTACACTAGAAAAATAGTTTTCATATATATTAAACCTTCTAAGCTCAAAAAGCACTCTGATTCTCCTGTTTTGAATACAATTCAAACGTATGCTAAAAATTAAATATTTTACTACAATATCTTTTTCTGTAAATCTTCTACTTAGTATTGAATTATATATTATTATTAAAGGTAGATTAATAAATTAGAAGTCCTTTCACTTATATCCTCACCAATACATATACGAGTAGCTAATTTGTATGTTTAGAACTTCACAAGTCAAACAATAAAAATGATTGTTAGTGTCATATTCATGTCTAGAAGAAATTATGTTTGCAATTTAAAAAAAAATCTATAAAATCAAAATTTTTAATGAATTTTTAAATAAATAATAAATAGTCTATTGAAAGCCTCCGATTTTTATGATAAGGTTTTCATATACTTAAATATACAGCGTGCAATGTCTTTTTAATTTTGAGAACAATTCTTTTTATAATGTTTTATTGGCATACAAATTGGAAATATTTTTTTTTTATTTTATTTTCTATAAAATAATGCTACTAAAATATTTGTAAAATTAAAAGATCTAGAATTATTATTTTTTGTAAAATTCAAATTTCTATTGAAAAACTTACATTCAACATTATAAAATCATAAAAAACAAAAAAAAAGTGAACTTTCAATAAAATTCTATTCATTTCTAAGAAAATATTTGTAACCTATACGGGTTATTTAATCTAGACCTTATCTTATGATAAAGTATAGCAAAATCGAAGACATTTCTACGTTCATTTGCGAGTCAATTGCAACAATTAGAATATTCTAGTATGACAAATGCTTTCAATTTATGTGAGTTATGAATTGCAAGGCCTTGAAACGCAAGCGTCATAAATTCTATATTATACTTTTTTATCGCAATTGATCCTCGTTTATTTGTTTTTAAATGTCAATTAAAAAGTGATTAATCAAATTCTAATATGAATTAAAAATTAAACGATTGACGTACAATTGGAAATATTTCTCGAATCTGTAATTTAGTAGGAAAAAAGTGCTATAATATACGACCTTTTCTTTTAAAACTTGTATTGTCATTTTGAAAATCTGTCAATGGCCCAAAAAATTTTTTTTTAATATTTTTTTATATGGAATAACTTACATTAAATATCGGTTGCTTATACTCATTATACACATATGTATACATACATTTTATGTATAGATACTATTGAGAGATCATGTGGCTGTTTGTTGTATTAGAATATAGATATCTAATTTTGTGTAGTCAGTTTTATGTCATGAAATATTAAAGAACTATTTAAAGTAGAATTTTAGTAAACGTATATACATAAATTAAAAAAATACTAGTATATATTTAAAATCTTCGATCAAAACCTATAAAATGTTATATAGTTCCTGAATAATTAAATTTTTTTTTTCTGAATCAAGTTTCGTTTAGTTTAATATTAAAGTACAATAACACTACATAAATATCCATAATGTTAAATTACCTCTTTATAACATTCTTTAGAAAAAAAATGTTAATTTTGACAACATAATCGTTCAGCAGAAAAAATTTTTAAATTTCAAAATTGTAATTGAAAACTAAAGTAAAAATTTCTAAAGAGCATATATATGAGAGTTTTTAGTTCAACTTTTTTAAGAACTCCCAATTTTTTTAGCATTGTCCAATATCTTTAATTCTTTGCATTCGACTCAATAACTCTTATATTATTTCAATATAAATTTTATATTTATGCGTAATTTTTCGTAAAATATTTCTCTAACAAAAGAACTACAAATAAATCTACATAAAATTCGAATTTAATGAATTGCAAAATTTTCGTAAACCATTAATGTTGTATTGAAATAAAATCTTGTAATAAAATAATGGCAGTTTTGTTACATTTCACAGCAGCTAAATAATTCACGATTGTTAAATAAAATAAAAATACAAAATGTAATGAACACATAATACGTCCAAATTATCACATGTATAAAATTACAAACGAAAATAAAAATATTTTATGAACTTTTATTTTATGAACGCTATACCAAAAAATTAAAAAAACACCGACAACACATATTATAACAGTTTTCTTGAATTCCGAATTGTAAAAGAAAGAAGAGCTTCAAGTTCGTTTTTCGTAAAAAATCTTCTTGTTCCATAATTATATATAACAAAATCTTTCTATATAATTTCAAAAATTTCAATTTGCATGCAATTTCAATAATAATTTCGATAAAAGTTTCGACAATACTTTTTTTCAAATGTTTGACTTAAATTAATTTTGACAAATTACATTTCAAGCTTTCGGATACAATTGAAAAATGGTATCAAAACTTTTTTCTTTTACAATATGGTATTCAAAGTAATTCTACATGGAGCTCTTTAGATAAGCTTAAAGCATTCAACACAATGTCATTTCGTTTACAAATAAAATATTAAAAAAATTTCATACCGCCTAAATTATAAACACTAAATTATATAGTTTATATACTTAACGCAATTATATATCAACAAGAAGATTAAAATAATTTGTATTATGTGTATATATAGGCATATATATAATATGTATATACATAGTATATATACGCATATAAATATGTTCACTACGTAATCAAAACTAAAAAGCAAAATATAATTTTAATTTTGTTGTTATATTTTAATTTTTAGTATTTTTTTTTTTGGAAATTTAATTTCAAATTATTTAAGTATATTAAATGTTCCCCAAATCTGTAAATAGTATAAATTGTAATATTTATTTACATAATATTTACATATATAGTTTTTTAATTTTATTTAATTTTAATAATTTAAAAAAAAAAAATTTTTAAAATTATCATATTTTTTTTAAATGACCATAATAAATATATACATATATATATCATATTTATATAATATATATATCTATGATATATACAAAAATATAAATTATTATTATATACCCTATATTTATTATAATATAACAGAATATTTCCTTAAAAAATTTTTCTATATTTAATAATTTACTTTCCTCTTACTTTCTAAATACCTTATATATCTATACTTATTATTTATTTAATTTTATATATAGTTTAAAAGTAAATCAAATATATAATATATATTATATGTATATGTATACATCATATACTATAAATATATATATATAAATATACCTATAATTAAGTAACATTTTTTTTTTATAAATATTTATTTAAATTTTAATTATTATTAATTTTTTAAATATATTTTTATTATATTTATAATTATAAATAATAATTACAAAAACATTGTATACTAATTCATATCCTGTTTTCTTTCTTTTTTTTTCTTTTACATTTATTTTTTTTGGTTGCGCCCGCAAATTAATTGTTGTATAACAAAAACAAAATTTATTAAATATATCGAAAAATGTTTATTATATCAAAAATGCACGCTACTATGTTTATATTGTCTTCATATTATCAAAAATAAAAAAACCTAAAATTTGAACTTTATTCGATCATATTAATGGTATAAAAATTGCCAAATTTTTACATAACATTTGCGTATAACAAACAAATAAATAAACAAACATAATACAAACTTTAAACAAACACTTTATGTATACGTAAATATTAAAAATTAAAAACAAAAACTAAAAACAAATAATTTTTTCTTTGTTGTCATGTAAATTTTGTCGTATTTCAAAAAAAAAAAAATAAATTTAATTTTAAATTCAATAATAAATTTTTTTTTTTGGTTTTGTTGTCAAATCATAAAAATTCCCAATCACAATCAAAAAATTGTGTTAATTTTTTTTTTTTGTTTTTTCGTTAATAATTAATTTGTACCTATAAAATTATAAAAAAAAATCGTATAACTAAAATAATAAATAGATGGACATGAAAACAGTTGGTTCATTTTACTACGAAAATTTTGTAAGTATTGCTCAAATAATTATAAAAATAAAAAATTTTTAGTTATTTGTTTTGCCTTAAAAAAAAAATTTTTATTTATTTATTTTCTTCTTCTTTTTTTCTAAAAAAACAAAAACAACTGCTTTAATATACAATGTGTATTTAAAATTTTGAAACGGAAATAATAAATATTGAGGCTTCCCAAATAAATAAAATTAGTTTTGCTTCTTCATTTTGAAATAAAAATGTTACCATATTGAAAAAAAAAATAAAATAGTGCTAGAAGAAAATTAGAATTTTCATGATAATTAATTGGTTTTTAATTTTCTTTATTGAAAAATAATTGTATTAGATATGTAAGACATGTAATTGCAATTTCTTTTATTGGTCTCGGTCTCTCAGTAACACATAAATATTATTCAAAGGCAAAAAAATTATAAATAAAAAATAGGAAAATCGCTATAAGAACGCACTAATTGTTGTGATCTTTGTTTTTTCTTTTTTTTTCATATTACAAGAATAAAAATATTGTGCCTGCAAAATTTTCATGTTTTTATATTTTAAATATTCTTAATTACTTTTTTAAAAACTTTTTTTTTTTATTTTTTATGTTCATTAATTTTTATTTTCTAATAAATGACACATAATTTATTTTAATTGTGCTTTTTTCTTAATTTAAAAATTAATTAAAATTCCTATGAGTATTATTCCTTTTAATATCAGTCTAATCCTTGTTTGTAATACTTTTAAAAACCATAATTTTATATAATATGCATTTGTTTAGTTCTTATTATCGATATTTAGAAAAAAATAATTGTATTTATTTAAAAAATTTTATATACCTTCCTAATTACATATATAATTTTTCTATCGCCCATTAAATCTTTTATAACAGTCTTCAATAAATTATAATTTAATTTATTTCAAAACCTAATTATCCTTTTCTTACAACTTGAAATTTAATTTTGTTACGAAAAAAATTTCAATTAAAAAATATTCGTTTTGAAAATTGTTACATTTTAATACAAACAGAATTTAAGTACTTTTTTTCAAAATCATATTTTTAAAATATGCAAAAGAAAAACTTATTTTGAGTGTAAATTTTTCGTAAATTAAAAAAAAAAACTTATATTACATAGGTATTATAAAATAAAAAATATTCGTATTTTAATATTAAATTTGCTAGATTTTTATTAACCACATTTTACATACATACAAATATATATTATATTAATTAATAACTTTATATAAATTATTAATTTATTTAATTTATATTAATTAAAATTCTAATTGTTTTATTTTTCTTTATTTTTTCTCTCTCTTTCTATTTCTCTCTTTGTTTTCTCAAAAATAATTAATATATATAGGCATTCTCTGGTATGGTACCGTTTAAGAGGCCCGCTGCAGAAAAATCTGGTATCCCTGTTTATCAAGCAAATGCAACAACGTATCAACAATTGATGCAATTACAACAGCCATTTGTTCCAGTATCATGTGAGTACCCTAGTCCAAGTCCTTCAGCTACAACAGCATTTCCACAACAACCACAACCTCAACCACAATTATTATCATCCAATGCAACTACTTCAGCAAATCCAATTATTGCTAATTTAAATATAAATCAATTAAATAATAATAGTAATAATAATATTAATAATAATATTCACAATAATAATAAATCGAGTCATATTACTTATAATAATGTTCTTAGCAATATAAATAATAATGTCATTACAAGTACAGCAAATCACAATATTATTAATAATAGCAATATTAATAAAAATACTTTTATTAATAATAATAATAATACTAATGTTAGTAGTAATGGTATTGCTATTATAAGTAATACTTTATTATATACTAATCCAAATATTAAAAAAATTAATAATACTACTAGTAGTTTCAATAGTAATTTAAATAATAATAATATCAGTAATATTATTAATAATAGTAGTCATAATTCCATTATAAATAATAATAATTGTGTTTCTGTATCCTCCGCTACAATTTCTCAATCACAACCATTAATTTTTGCAAATACACAAAATTCTATCGCTAAAAATAACAATAAGTTAAGTGTAGATGATACTGAAAAAAATGTAAACAACGATAAAAACAATAATAATAATAATAATAACAATAATAATAATGCTATTGCTGGTACTAACGCTAATGCTAATAAGGAAGATAATCCGAATTTAAATACAGAATCTTCAAATTCAACTGCTACAACTACTAATACCATCACAACAGCCACAGTTACTGCAACGACTATTACTTCTACTATAACCACAACAACAGTTACAACTTCCACTATTACTACCGCAACAACCACTATCCCAATTACTAATCAAACAACATCAATTTCAAATGATACAAGTTTAATAAATTCTTTAACCAAAAATTTAAATGGCGATACTGAAAATAATATAAATAATAATAAAATTATATTACCAATTGTTACTTCAACAAGCCTTACTACCAGTACAACAACAGCAACAGTAACAAAATTAAATGAACAGATATCGCTTAATAACAGTAATAATAACAATAAAACTTTAAATATTAATAAAACAGATACAACTATAAATCATAAAGATGTAGTAAATACTACTGCAAATTGTAATAATGTTAATAATTTAAATTTTAAGTCAGATCATAACGGTAACACAACTGAAGGCAATTCACATAAAATTCAAAGTTCTCAAAGTAATAACCACAATCCCATAACAACAACATATTTAAATTCTAACCCCCATATACTTAATAATATAAATAATCCGTATACATATACAAAAATAAATCAAAATCATCAATCAATTTATAGTTTAAACAATAATCCCTCCGCGGTATCCTTGTCATCAGGTGCACCAACAAATCAATATTCAAATTATACATCAAATATATATATACAAAAATCTCCAGCTATCACAGTACCCTATTCTTCGGCATATTCTGGTGTTGCAAGTACAAGTTCAGGTTTAACATCAACAGTGCAAGGTACACCAACATCATCTGTTTCATCTTCATCAACAGTTGGAGCAGCTGCATTAACAAATTATCATTTGGCTGCAATGCAACAACATCCATATGCTGCAACCCCACAAACAAACCAATATTATAAGGATGCTGCTTCAATGGCTAAAGAAGTCGCTCAAAATCATTATACACTTAGAGCAGCTGCAACTACAAATGCATTAGCTGGTAAACCTCTTACAGCTTTAGCTTATCAGCCATCACCTGTAGCTGTTTCTTTAAACAAGCATTTGTTACCACAACAAGCAGCCGCAGCTGCAGCTGCAGTTCAAGCAGCAGCTTTAGCTAATCATCAACAGCAAGCAGCATTATATGCCGCAAATCGAATCAATGCACTTGGACAAACTCAACAACAGCAGACCGTTTTAAATAGTCAACAAACTCAACAAGTAAATCAAACACCAACTGGTGTACCCAGTGCTAATACAACCGCCGTCCCACAATCTGTTTCAAATTATATTACACGAAATCCAAATGCAACTTATATGCAAGCGTCACCTTTCCGTCATCAAAACCCCATGGCGGCAGCGGCTGCTGCTGCTGCTGCAGTCGGTACACCCCATGCTGCTGCTGCAGCTGCTGCAGCACAACATAATCCTTATGTTGCTGCAGCCGCAGCACAGCAAATGTTTGTTGGTCATCCACAAGCAAGTTATTTTTATCCAACAGCTGGTGGTTTGGTACCAGCTAATTATCCATATGCTATGCAAGCAGCAGCTGTTGCCGCTGCTGCTGGTAATTCCGCATTAACCGGGCATCCACAAATGCAAGCAACAGCTTTAACATCAGCCTTACCACAACAAGGAACACCTGCAACACCAGGAAGCGCTGTCGTTTTAAATCCATACAAAAAAATGAAGACTTCTTAAATTTGATAAAAATAAATATTATATAATACGAGTATGTAATTGAAATATTAAATTTTGGATAATGAAAAACTTAACTGCATGTCCTTTATAAAAATATAACATGTTCATATGAAGTATATTATGCATGTAATATGTCATTAAAAATTGAAATTATAATTATTATATTAATTTAAATTATAATTATTATAATAACCCATAAATAAAAATAAATACAATAAATATACAAAACTATTATTATATTATATTGTAAAGTTAGAGCAAGTAATAATGAATGATATATTGAAAGTATATAATAATTATAAAATATTTATACTTTAATGTGCCTAAAAAAAAAAGAAAAAAAAAAACAAAAACTTTGTAAACATATTTTTATATACAAAGTTTTTAATTTTAAAAAAAATTGTCTTTTTGTTATTTATGTTTAAATATATTTAAATATTATAATAATTAAATATTAAGGATTTTTTAAATATATATTATAAAAAATTTAATATAAAAGCTTTAACAGAAGCATAATATAAATGTAAAATTTTATTCTGTTAATATTAAACATGTGCACCATTCAGCATTCAAAGCACTCAAATTTTGCATTCAAACCATCTATAACACATAATATCGAATGTTTTACATAAAAACTGAATTAATTAATAATGGAAGAAGACATTCATACACTCTGAGTTTATATGAATAATTAGAATTTCTTCCTAAAACAAAATCTATACATTTCATTATTATTCATATATAAAAAATGGACTTCTGTTAAAGTATAATGACTTGTTTTGTTTTTTAAACCCTTATTGCATTGAATTCCGTATTAACGAATAATTTTTTATATAAAAATTTTTTTTATCAAAATTATTATATATCCATATTCTATTAGTGACATTGTAACTGAGGTGATAGCATAATATTCAAAGGAATTGATGTTTTCACTATCAAATTTTAAAATTGATTTTGTTCTTCAAAATTACAAAATTTTTTATGAAAAAATTTTGCAATTCATCAAATGATGCGTCTCTTAGAGAATATGGGTGCATACTTTGTTATTCCATCACTTTTCATTTCCTTTTTTTATATTTAACAAATATAAAATTATTCATTAATTATACTAAAGGAAAATTTGTACTTAAGAGTTAATAAAAAATAAAAAGCAAAAAAACACCAAATGATAATCGAAGAGTTTAAATCAAAATACTTTAAAAAAAACCGTCTTGATCATAAAAAAAAAAAAACAAAACTTATGCAGAATTTTTATTAAATAAAATTCTTATATAATAATAACTATATGCATACATATATCCACTTATATACTATATACGAATATGTATATTACAAGTGTATAAATATTAAAAAAACAAAAATTAAATATTAAAAATTTATACATACCACAAAATATGATAAAAACAAAACGTTCGTACATGTTTATGTCCTTAAAAATATTTATATATATATATACATAAATATATAAAATATATATATACAAGAAAATACATAACATACATGTAAAAATGCAATGCAATATTAAAAAAGGAAAAAAAAATATAAAAAATATACAAAACAAAAATATTATTAATAAAAATATTATATAATATAAATAAAATACCTAATTTTTAATTTAAATAAAATTATTATATAAGAAGAAAAAAAATAATAAATTTAAAAAAAAATGGGAATAAGGTACTGTGATAGTTTCAGATTACCGCGAAAACTACAACTTCTGTAAATTATGATTTAAAAAAAAAAAAACATTTGCGTTCCTAAAATGCCATACTTGCAAATCCTGATATAAAAAGTATATTATGTACATAAATATAAAATAATATAAAAATGAAAAAAATAATAAAAAAAAAGAAAACAATACTAATTTAAAATCTTATATAATGAAACAAAAATTCTATATTAAAAAAAAAGAAATGCATAAAAAAATAAATCCAACTTGGATTTTCATAACTTTATTATTTTTCTCATTAAATTGAATTTCAAAAACATAATTATACAATATATATATATATATTTATATATATAGAATATCCTTATTATATAATTAATTTAATATTTAATTGAATAACATTTAAATTATAAACCCCTTCCTTTACTTAACTTTTTAATATTTCAAGAATAAAAACAAAAAAAAGTGTTATTAATATACGCATATAATAATAAATAGTATATAAAGAAATTATATACATACATATAATTTAAAATATATATATACATCCCACCCCGGAGGCAAAAATCTATTTACTCAAAAATAAATGATTTTGAGAAAATTGCGGAAAAAATAATTTTTAATCAACACGTAAATATGTGAATCTAAAAGTCTTAATCAATTTGAATGATAAAATGAGTAAATTTTAAATCTACTTCAACTATATACGCATATACATATAATTTAGCTAATAAATAAATATTTGAAATCTTAAATATAGTCTTAAAATCTGAGACATCGGATTTTGTGAGTTAATAGAATGAATACTTTTGCCAAAAGGGGTGCGATTTATACAAATATGTATAGAATGTAATAAAATCGTAAAACACAGTTATTTATGTACGTATATATATATATATATATATATATAGGTAAAATGT